CCCCATCACAGCCAGGCAGAGCTTCATCAGCTCAGAAACAAAAGCACTGGTTTCCTCAGACTTCAATTAAATGTGACTGTGCCTTGTCCTGTAGCAATTCAGAGTAYGGGACATGCTTRGGAATAACCTCAAGTCCTCTGAGGCATCCCCTAAGGAGTAAATACTCAAAACCAGGTGGAARTAATGTCAGGATGGAGGTTTTGCTCCGTGACTGGGATTCAGCAGAGCTATATTGGCCATTACAAAGAAYAGTTATACAGCTAGCTCATTGGTATGCTATGCATGAGGCTCACATTCACTGTCAAGCCTTCTGATGAAAAAACCTAATGGCAAAAGAAAAGTGAGAGTGTTTTTAACATCTGAGACAAGCTTCTATTCCCCTCCTCTCTGGGCATCTTGATATTGTCTTAGATACTGAGAAAAAAMTGGTTTCAGTGCCAGCTGGGCTAGTCCATCCTCCAGAAGTTCAAACCAGACAGGCTGTATTCCCAGAAAGTCAGTCCCAGGACACCTGTACTGCTTAGGGGTATCCAGAGGAACTGTTTGGAGTGCAGAGCAAATATAAGATCCAGGAAGATCAGTTCGAGTTATTGCCCAGAAGCCATGGGAGGTAATTCCAGCTGTAGCTCASCTTTGGATATCCCATTGCCTGGGCTAAGTGCAAGGGGAAGTGCTTGTAGGGCACTCAAACTGAGCSAAGCAGCAGCCTGGAAGTGTTRTCCTKTAGGCTTGGTGAGGCTCCTGAGACAACACAGGGTGGGGAGGAACRGACAAGCYTTGGCTTGAGATATCATTTGCAGTGACTTAACCCACYAYRTGTGGAGAAGGGGGCAKATTTGGCAACACAGTGGTATGGAGGTGGCTTCAAGAGCAGAGTCCCTCAGTCTCCCACATCGTTATGAGGGACTGTGAAGAYGAGGTCTCATGCTTGGAACTTTCCTCCTGTTAATGCTGTCTGGAGCACAGCTCATACCAGCGCAGTGCCCTGCGCTGACCACACTTTGGGCTGTTATCCTGCCAGAGTCCCGCCCTGACCCAAACTGCCCCCAGCCAGAGCACAGGATTTGTGTGTCCTGCTCCCCAACTCAGTCACCAAGCTGCCTCGAGCCCTGCCTGYGGCCAGGCAGTTGTCAGCACAAGGGACCCCTTGAAGCAAGGGTCGTGCTTAGGTCAGCACACACAGCCCYSAGTCCTCTGCACCAGAGCTGCAGCAGCACCTATTGCTATCCACCTGCTCCCAGCACAGCCGTCCCCACTGACCTCCACGAAGAAGCCTCCCGTCAAGGACATGTAGGGAGCAGGGTAAGTGGAGAAGAGCCCCGCCGTGGCATTTGGACCAGTCACTGTAAAGTTGCCCTTGGTGTAGTCGTACAGTGCCTCTAGGAGAAAGGGAGTTGGGAGTTAGCACAGCAGCCAGCACACAGCTCATCGCAGGTGGCA